TGCTTGCCTTCTCTGAGCCTTGGATTCCCCCTCTGTAAGGCAAGAATAACAATGGTACCTACTATGTAAGGTAGATAACATTCTTACAAGACACAAGTGAGCTGAGAGAGAGGCAGGCTTAGGGAGGCTTACAAAGACTGGAGTTTGACTTCAGACATCTTGAGTCTCATGGGTTGGGAGAAATGTCGGGGAGGGGGTCAGTAACTAAAGCACAATAATAAGTAAATAAATAAAACTAGCTCTGAACAAAAATTGAGACAGGAAAAAAATAGTGAGTTGTTGAGCAATGCTCTCACCTGTCCTTTCTGCAGATTTTGGCCTGTGACTGTGCTCCAAGTGCCAGAAAGGCTGTGACACGGAGCTGAGGGGCGATCCAGGTGGGAGGAAGCAGCACACAGGTGAGGAGCCAGCTTTTACTAGACATTTGCAGGGAGCCAAGCGTCCTGTGACCAGTGCCTGGTTCAACCCCCTTGGCAGCCCAGGAAGCGGGTCGTATCACCTTCATCCTACAGATGAGGCAAGTGACAGCCAGAGAAGCAGAGTGCCCTGCGAGAGTCCCATCACCAGCTCATCACAGCAGGGTTCAAGCCCAAGTCCACCTGACCCCGGGTCCTGAGCCTTTTCCTCACGGCCACACGGCCCGACGGGCCACCAGGTGGACTAGCTACCGTCAGCACCTGCGTGGGAACCCGATTCTGAGGCCGCCCCCTGCTGTCCTAGATCCCCGCTGTCAGGCCAGGAAATGGGGTGGTCAGGGCGGAGGGGACGGGGCTGGGGAGGGAAGAGGAAGGGACCACAGTCGTGGATGGGACCGTCAGCCAACGGACTCACTGCACCTCTCTGAGCCTTGCTTTCCTCTTCCAAGACCAAGGACTCACAACGCCTGCCCCGTCACACTGAATGAGACGTGCAGGCTGCTCCGCAGACCTCTGGTGGCCAGGAGGACTGGGCCAGGCTGGCCGGTCTCCACGGCGGCACGCCCACGCCTCCGGGGTGAGAGCGCTGGCTCCCGGAGCGCCGCACGCGCAGGTGCTGGTGGGAGGTCACTGTCTGCACGCGTGAAGTGGAGGTGAATGCGATGTCTGCCCTCGGGCGCCTTGGGGGAAAAGAGAAGAGTGGGAGGGAGACCAGGAGGACAAAAGAGAAAGCTGAGAGAGTGGCGGACAGGAGAAAGGGAAACATCTGTGGCCTCTCTGTCTCTACCTGTTTCTCTCTGTCTCTGTCTCATTGTCTCTTTCTCTGTCTCCTCGTTTCTCTCTCCCAGTTTCTCTGTCTCTCCCTGCCACTCTCTCTGTCTCTCTCTCTCACCCTCCCTTCCTGTTTTCTCTCCACCCAACCAGGTCTCTTAGACACTCCTTGTTCTCTCCAACTAGACACACTCCTGCCCCGGATCTCCTCAAACCCACACGTCACGCAATCGCCTGTCCACTCGAGGGGCACCAGTCGGTCTACACCCGTCATTCTCTGTGACCGCCCATGACGGAGCACTTGACTGCCCATGACAGGGGCTGTGACTGCCCATGACAGGGGCTCAGGCACCTGCTGGCCGCAGGGAGGACAGCAGTAAGCAGCGATGGAGCTTGGTTTCAACGTAGGATAATGAGGACACTTCTCCTGGCCCCGACGTTTTCTCCCCGCAGTAAGAGTGCAATTAGTGTAACTCTTGGCGTTTTTATTCCCCGACTCTCACTGCCTAGGGGATCTGGAGAGATTCTTGGTACCTGGTTTGTGAATTGGGGAAGAGAAACTCAGCATGCTCTGATCAGCTCAGCTCAGCCTTAGAGCACACAGGTCTCTGTTCCTCCCTGCCCCAAACCCTGCCTGGGTGGGCTGCCATGTTGGGAAGCACGTCCCCATCCACCATATGAGCTGCCTCCAAGACCAACAACATACTCATCCATCCGTCCATCCATCCATCCCTCCAAACAATTTCCATCCATCGACCACTTTACACAATCTCCATTCTCACCTAAATCTTGCTCCCGTGTATACAATCTATTCCAGCTAGTAACCCTATGCTGCAGAGACATATGTCCATCCATCCTTCATGCACCCAAACCTGCACACCTCTCTCTCCACGCTCCATTCCCTACCTCCTTCCCCACACTGTCCCCAGCAAGCCCTCCCCCCCTCCCCAGAGCTCACAGCAAGTCATCCCTCTGCCAGCCCAGGCAAAACCAGGTCATGTCACAAAGCAATCTTGCCCAGCCCCCCAGATTTTTCACTCCACTCACAGATAACAAACAGGCCCATCTTCCCAGCTAATCGGGGAAGAAATCTGGTGAGCTCAATCGCTGCCGATATGCATTTAAATGGCTGCATCTAAGAGGGAAATCTAAATGAGAGCCGAAGGAGGCCGGGGCACTGGGGAAAATCTCGCTGTAATAACTGTGTAAGGCGACGCAAATCAACAGAAAGCTGCACGCTCGCTTGGGGAGAGAGAGACTACTGTAACTCGTGTGCTCAGAAACTTATTGGAATCTCCGCACTTTTAATATAATGGCATTAGTGTCACAGTGCCTTATGTATAGCTTCACCCGCCACACGTAATAAGCGGAGCGCCGTTTCTCAGCGTGTGTGATGCATGGATGTGGGTGCAGGGAGGGGGTGTGTGCACATGGAACTGGGTGATAATCTTGCAGCCCTGAAGTGCAGGGGGAGTAGGAGGGAGCCCTGCATTTGAGGGCAGAACAGACCTAGTTCAAAGCCTGGCTCTGTCACTTACATGCCGGGTGACCTAGGGTAGATCACTTAACCCTGGGAAAGTCCATCCCCTTGTCTATAAAATGGAGACAGGGACACATACCTCCCAGGGTTGAACTGAGGATTCAGTACTTGTATAAAAGCACTCAGATAATAATGCGCATTTGCTTAGTAAATGTCATTAATAGTTCTAGGTTTGAGTTCTGCCTCCAATAATTGACTAATTGAGTGACCTTGAGTTTATTGCCTACCCTCCCTGTTCCTCAGTTTCCTCATCATAAGAGGGAGATAATAACAGTTCTTCCCTCAATGAATACATGCAAAGTACTTAGTACAGCGCCTGTGCTTTGTACATGCTTAATTCTTGTTTTCATCATCGTCATCCTTAAGTCAAAGGTGCTGAAGTTTATTGAGCATCTATAAACTGTGCCTGAGAGATAGAAGAAAAGGGACTGTTGAGTCGATGCAGCATCTCGTGCATTATGACATATGCTCACAACCACATTTCTCAGAAATGGTATTTAGGATATCCATCGCCTTGAATATTGACCATTTCTTTGTATTGGGAACATCACATCTCTTCCCTTCGGGCTATTTTGATATAAACAACATGTTATTGTTAACACGGTTACCCTACTGTGCTACCAAACACTAAAACTTCTTCCTTCTTTCTAACTGGATGTTTGTACCCATTAACCAACTTCTCTTCATCTCCCCCAACCCCCCACACCTTTCCCCACCTCTGGTGACTACCATTCTGTTCTCTGCCTCCCTGAGATCAATGTTTGTGGCTCCCACACATGAGTGAGAACATGTGACATTTGTCTTTCTGTGCCTGGTTTATTTCACTTTGCATAATTATCTCCAGTTCCATCCATGTTGCTGCAAATGATAGGATTTCGTGCTTTTTATGGCTGAATAGTATTCTGTTGTGTATATATGCCACATTTTGTTTGTTCATTCATCCGTTAATGGACACTTAGGTTGATTCCATCTGATCTGTATTTTTAAAAGACCACTCCAGCTGCCATATGGAACAAGGCTAGAAGTGATGGACTTTGCAACAGTCCAGATAGCTCATGGCTTTGGCAAGGGAGGCAGGGATGTGGGAATGAAATGTGATCAGACTCACATTGTACAGTCAAGTCTCTTAATGAAGGGAATGCATGTTGGGCAACATGTTGCTAGGCAATTTTGTTGTTGTGCAAACATCATCAAGTGTATCCACACAAACCCAGGAGGTATAGCCTACTACACACCTAGGCTATGTAGTGTGGTCTATTGCTCCTGGGCTTCACACCTATACAGCATGTTGCTGTACCAAATACTGTAGGCAACTGTAACACAATGGTAAGTATTTTCATACATAAACATATCTAAACATAGAAAAGATATGGCAAAAATACAGTGTAAAAGATAAAAAGTGACACACCTGTATAGCACACTAACCATGAATGGAGCTTACAGGACAGGAAGTTGCTCTGGGAGATTCAGTGAGTGAATGTGAAGGCCTAGGATGTCACTATACTCTCCTGTAGACTTTATAGATGCTGCACACTTAGGCTACACTAAATTTATTTAAAAGATTCTTTCTTCAATGATAAATTAACTTTAGATGACTACATTTTACTTTATAAACATTTTGATTTTTTTAATTTTTTAACTCTTGTAATAATACTTAAAACACAAATACATTGTGCAGCTGTACAAAAATATTTTCTTTCTTTACATCCTTATTCCATAAGCTTTTTCTTTTTTCTTTTTTTCTTTTTAAGCTTTTGTGTTAAAAACTAAGACTCAAACACACACAGTAGCCTAGGCCTGCACAGGGTCAGGACCATCAATGTCACTGTCTTCCAACTCCACACCTTGTCCCACTGGAAGGTCTTCAGGGGCAACGGCACACATGGAGCTGTCGTCTCCTGTGATGACAGTGCCTGCTTCTCGATATCTCCTGAAGGTCCTCCCTGAGGCTGTTTCACAGTTAACATTTTCCTATTAAGTAGAAGAAACACATTCTAAAATCACAGCAAAAAGTATGGTAAATGCCTAAACCAGTAACATAATCCTTTATTATCAGGTATTATGTCCTACGCATAAATGCACCTGCTGTGCTTTTATAAGACAGGCAGTGCGGTAGGTTTACTCACTGCAGCATCACCACAGGCACGTGAGTAATGTGTTGTGCTGCTATGTCACAAGGGCTGGGACATCACCAGGTGACAGGAATTTTCCAGCTCCATTATAGTCTTATGGGACCACCATCAGATATGTAGGTGCTGCTGTTACGTGGCACATGACTGTATTTTAAAAGAATCGCCAGTAGGATTTGCTGATCAAACATGGGTTGCAAGTGAAATAGAGGAGTCAAGGAAGGCTGCAAGGTGTGCGGCTTGAGCAAGTTGGTGAATGAAGAATCGTTTATTGAGATGGGGAACCCCAGGGAAGGAGCAGGTCAGGTGTGACTTTGAGGGAACCAGAAAGTTGGTAGGTAAACATGTACCACGGGTGGTCAGTGAGAAAACCTTGCAACAGGGTAGCTGCTCTGGTTGAATGTGTTCCCTCCAAATTTCAGCTGCTGCCAATGTGATGATATGGGGGTGGGGGACTTTAAAAGGTGATTAGCCATCAGGGCTGCTCCCTTGTTAATGGGACCCTTACACACAAGGCTTCATGCTGCACTCAGGTAGCCTGCTAGCTTGTCCTTCCACCTCTGCCACATGAGGACACAGCAAGGTCCTCACCAGGCCTAAGGCCAGTGCCTTGATCTTGCACTTCCCAGCCTCCAGAACGGGGAGAAATAAGTCTCTGTTCTTTATAAATTTCCCAGTCTCAGGTATTTTGTCGTAGCAGCACAAAATGGACTCAGACAGTGGCCAAAAGGATGGAATAAGAGCAAGTGGATTAGAAATGTGCTTTCTGGTGGCTTGCTTGGGTTGTTTCCCAGTGCAATGCAATGAGACTTCTCCCCGCTAGCCACAATCCTTCAGTAAAAGTTCTGCATGCCACAGTCGTAGATATATACTGGCCTTGGCAGGGACAACCAAGAAGAAAGAATCATCATCTCCGTGCATGACAGGGATACTTCTTCCAGATATAAAGAACCAAAAACAACACCAAGAACAAGAATTTGTGTGAGACAATAAATCTCAATAGGAGCTGATGGTAAAGACATAAACCCCCAAGGTATCTGCAGCAATCTTGAGGAGCTGTCTGGATCTCTTCTACAGAGCATGGAATGAGAATTTGAGCCAAATGTTTCCAGATCTCAAGGGGCCAACAAATTCCAGCTCTTATCCATAATATGACTACAGGTCTAAAAGACGACAGAGAAGGAACAAGCCAAACTATTAAGTGGTGGTTGTACATTGATGGATAATCTTTTTTTAATTCCTGATTTTTCTCTAATTTTTTCTAAATTGGAAACAGTGAATATATTTTATAATCAGAAAAAAAATGTATTAGGAGTAAAAACCACAAAGTGGGATGCCATGAACAGGTGCATGTCTCTCGGTGTGGATTGAATGCATTAAGAAAAACAAGGAAGGTGTCTCCCTGAGCTAAGCAACACGTCCCTAATAACACAGCGTAGGTGGCCAGCAGCAGATCACAGGTTTGGGCTCGGTGTCACTGCGAACGTCTGTGGATCCTTGACAGGTGCAGGGTCCCAGCTGTTTTCCCCCATCCCGGGCCTGTGCTGCTGACGTTTGTACCTCAGCACAGGATCTGCTGTTGTCACTGCTGTGTGTCATTTTGTAGGATTCGATCTCAAATCACAAGCTGCCGGAACCCTCTCTGAGTCCTGAGTCTATCTTCCAAAACATTCTTTGACCCTTCCGATATCCCGTCCCTGGAAAACTAGGACGCCCATGCCATCCACATCTTCCTTCATTCAGAGATCAGGCCTAAAACATTGACAGAGCACGTTCCCAGGGGCGGGCGGTGTGTGAGAGCTGCACGTGTATTCCCTCACTTAACCTTCACAGCAACCCTACGAGAGACAGGTGCTGTCATCATCCCTGTTTGACAGATGAAGACAATGAGGCATCCGGAGGTTAAATATCTTATCCAAAATCTCAGCCAATAAAACGGCAAGGGCAGGGTTTGGCTCCGTGCTCTTCAACACCACGCTATCCAGTCTCCCACGTGGTCATGGGGGCCAGGCTGTCTTAGACTGGTGCAGACGCAGAGAAGAGTAAGCACCTCCTCTTCAGAGAGTCTGCTGGGTGCTGCCGTTAATTGCAGCGCCGTAGGTGCTTCGCTGGCTCACCTGCTGTGAGACCTCCGGCACTTCACTTACCCACTGTGTTCTTTGGTTTCCTCATCTGTACAAGGGAGCTGAAAATAATACCTACCTTATGGGACTGTCGGGTAAATTAAGTGAGCTTAATCCTTAATACAAGTAAGGTACTTAGCAGAGCACCCAGCATGTAATAAGTGCTTAATTAACATCCACTATTCAGTATTATTCTTGTAGTAGGATATAGGGAGGCACAAAGGAAGGAATGCTCACTGTTCTCTAGAGCAGTCAAGAGGCTTCACAGAGGCCCTGAGATCTGAATATTGAAGAAGGAGAAGGCCTTTTCACTAACTAAGCAGAAAGTGACAAAGGAGATCTGGTTTTGCAGGCAATAAGCCTGCACGAACCAAGGCCCGCAGGCAGGAGGGTATAAAACCAGCGTGTCCTCACTCCCTGTGAGTGTGTGGTTGCTTTCTTTCCACCCAGGACATGGGAGCAGCCTCCACTCTGACCTGTACAAACCACCTTAATTTGTGGCCTCTGGGGTGGAAGGTAAGTGAAGACTTTCCAGGTTTTAGCTCTGTTTAGCGCTGGAAGAGCACAAACTTTGCCTTCAAAGAGAAAAGGCATTTGAAAGGCTTATGGAAAGGCTTATGAGCCTTCTTGTACATCAAACGCGCCTTACAAAGCAACATTTTGATGAGTTAAGTGCAAATGCATCAGAAACACAAGGATTAAATTTCCCTTGAAATACACATAGGTTTAAAGATTAAGGGGAAATTGCCTGGCAAAACGTGTTTTGGGTTAAACACTAGAAAGTAGTTCAAGTTGGTTCCTGTCTGCTGCTCCCCCTCTCTTATGAGTGTAAATAACAACAATAATAGGAGTATCAAGACTGCTTGATACAATTTCAGCTCACTCGGGCCCATGGGAGTCTTCTGAGCAGGTACATAAGAAAGTAAAATGCAATGATAGGAACAGAAATCCCCGGAAGGGACCAGGACGCGACCGCAGAGAGTGGCTGCTTGTCCCTTAGCCCAGCTTCCCTTCCCCCTCAGCTCACAGCCGGACTGCGTCTTCCAGGACCTGTTCCAGCGAGCGGAACACGGCCAGAAGTGGGGGGTGTCACTTCCAGGCTTGGCCCCTAAAACTCCCCATGTGCTCCTCTTTCTCCACCTGCCGGCTGGACGCGATGCTCAAGGCAACCTTGAAGGTCACGCGGCGAAGACGGCAGCGTCCTCGTTGATGCCACTGCAGCAGACTTTCTGTGAACGTGAAATAAACTTCTGTCACGTGAAGCCGCTGAGGTCTCCGGACTTCTCTGTTACAGCAAGTAATGTCACTTTAACCAAGTCAGAGACGTGAAGCACCCGGTGGATAAGAGGAAATTTGGATCGTAAATCAGGGCACCCGAGTTCTACTCGCTGCCTCCCATGTGCTGTGTGTGTGGTGCTCTGGGCAAGTCCCTTCCCACCTGTCACCCTCTGTGTCTCACTCTCTCCAGTGGCCGAATGAGACATTAGACAGGGTGATTGCCACAGTCTGGCTCTAATGTTTAAGATTAAATTATTCTAAATAACAAACTGCAACTTGAATTCTATTCGAGTCGACAAAGGTTTCTGAAACACCTACTATTTGCTAGGCATTGGGCTGCGGAGTTACATAAATCCAGGCACTTAGAGTATAGGCTTGAAGATAAGTTACTACAATAAAAATAGCAGAGGGCAAATGAACAAATTAATCAATCAAGCAATCCCAGAGAGCAACGGGCTCTGCTTAGGAGAGGGTGGAGGCGTAACAAAAAGCCACTAGGGGGCAATGACATTTGAACTACTCTTAGGGGACAGAAGGCCACCAAGGTGGGGGCCTATTCCAGACAGAGCCAGGGACTTCACAGCTAAAAGGGCCCCTCTTTCCCAGACAGGAAACTATGACCCAGTAGAGTTACTGATTAGTTGCAAACTTGGAGGTCATTAACCAATTTCCCAGTCTCGGCTCTGTCTAGACTAAATAAATAAATCAGTAAAAAATCTCCAGGAGATAAGACATGAAATGAAAAAGACTGGGTCTAGCCCCTGGCTCTTCTAGCCCTCACCACCCAATGGCTATCCATGGGCAAAACCATCCTCACCCTCTACTGACTTCTCACAAACTCACAATCACCCGTCTTTTTTATTTGACACAGGCATGAGACTTGACAGTTGCCCCCATTCATGTCATATCTCAAAAACTCAATGTATGAGTTGAATCTGGCCATGATCCAACACCTTGCTCTCCCTTCGGGTCTCACACCACCACACGTGGGGCATAATACCATCAATGACCTCATCAAGTCGTTAATGCAAACAACAGGCAGGACAGGCCTAAAAACAAAGCCTGGGACCCCCTGCTAAAGGGCTTTCCTCCAGGTGGGCATGTCTGACACCCACACCCGGGCGTGTGCCTTTAAGGTGAGCAGGGTGTCCTTCTGGAGCACAGGGTAAGAGCAGGTGCATTTGTTTTCTGTGGCTAATGTAACAAATTACCACAAGCTTGGTGGTTTAAACACAACAAATGTATTGATTTTACAGTTCTATAGGTTAATAGTTCAACATGGGGTCTCACTGGGCTAAAATTGAGCTTTTGCCAGGGCTGCATTTCTTTCTGGAGGTTCTAGGGAGAATCTGTTTCCTTTGCTTCGAGGGGCTACCTGCTCATTTATCTTTGGTGCCTCAAACAGCACTCGGTGCATAGTAGATGTTCCCCCCAAGCTTCTAGAGGCCCCTGCACTCCTGGGCTCATGGCCGCATTCCTCTGTATTCAAAGCAAACAATGGCAGTTCTAGACCTTCTCACACTGCATCACGCTCACCTCTTCTCCTTCCTCTATCTTCTACTTTTAAGAACCCTTGTAATTACCCGGGATCCACCAGAATAATCCAGGCTAATCTCCCTAATCCGCTAACATACTTAATTCCATCTGCTACCTTACTCTCCCTATGCCATATAATGTAACATATTCACAGGTTCCAGGGATTGGGACGTGGACATCTATGGGAGACTATTATTCTGCCAACGACAGGGGGGATGATGTCAATTCATTCTTTCAGTCTTTATTAGGTGCCTGTTTTATGCCATTCACTGCACCAGGGTCTAAGAATATAGTGAATAAGAAGATAGACCTTTTCCCTGCCTCTGTAGAACACACAGTCTAGCGAGAAAGACACTGAAAGGGGCACCAGCTAAGAGTAATGGGTGTCACAGCAAGGAAAGCGTGGCTAATGCTTAGGAAAAGTCGCTCCGAACAGAATGCATCTGTATCTTTTTGCTCTGCTTCGAACCTACAGCCCCAGATTAAGAGTCAGGAAGCAACCTCCAAAAGAGTTCATTTCTCTATCAAAAAAAGGAAAAAGGAAGAGAAACTAGGTTTATTTTTAATGAGCCTGCCTTGGCTCTGAATGATCACCACTTCCTTTTCCAGTTCTTCCTTACTGAGGCTCAGCTTGGACTCTTGCTTGAGTGAAATGTCTACTGTACACCAAAGTCACTGAGGGTGCAATGATACGAGGAGATTCGTTCCTGCCCGAGAGGTTGCAGAGCCCAGCAGCAGGTGACGACAAGTCTTCAGCAATCACATGAGGATGACAGGTAATATTTTTGTTTGTCATCGTGGGGGTCATTGGTAGCAGGACAAAGTGGGCCAGAGTTTTGTGACAAATATTGCAATATGGACAAGGAGCCACAGCCAGGACAGGGGTTCAGTCAGTGTCTTAGAAAGGTGTGTCTGAGAAGAGTGAACCCAGAGTGAGGCTGGGGCTTCCCTCTGCCTCCAGCTGCTATAGCAAAAAGGAGAAAGGAACGGCCAGGGTCAGCAAGAGCTTTGGCGCTTGGGTTTGAAATGCCAGGAGGTCCACACTAGAAAGGGTCTGAGCCCAAAGTTAGGATCAAACCAGCTTGTGAGGTCAGGCCGGGGGGTCAGAAGGGCACTGAGAACCGGATTCTTGGAGCCAGTCCCTGGAAGGTGCTTCTTCCCGGAAATATGAGCATAAGCTGAGGTTCAACTAGAAAAGGTCTCCTTCGTCCTCCACGAGGAAGCGGTTGCTGCCAGCTGTGGGGGTAGGTGCTGGCCCCGCACCAAGGCAGCCCTCTGGGTTCTGGGAAAACCTTTTCTGGCTCACATTTGCCTCTGTTTCTGAGTTCCCATCCAATGTATCATTGGATTTACAGCCATCATGTTTTCACCAAGGCGGCAATGACACGTCAGAAAATTAGAGGTCATTACCATCGGTACCAGCCCTGCACAGCTGAGCAGTTGCTGCTTCCTTATATCGTCACCTCCTACTTCAAAATCTCGGGTGAGTGTGGGCACTTGAGTCATGGGCCCATGACCTCGCTACACGGGTAGCTGGGAAAGCAAGCCAGCCCAGCATTTGTCAGCATTTGGTCTTTGATCATAGTGAGGGAACCTCCCAAAACAGAAAAGGGAAGCTCCAGTCTGCGGGCTGCCCTAGCAGCTGGGAATGCTTTCAGCTGCAAGTCACGGGATAGCCAATGTTTTTAAGTGACTTAAACAATGAGAAAAATGTATTGTCTCATAACAAGATATCTACAGATAGGTGACTCCAGGGATCCAGAGGATCACCTATGTCATCAAGAACTTGAGTTCTTGCTGGCGTGGATGTAGAGAGAGAGGAACACTCCTATACTGCTGGTGGGACTGCAAACTAGTTCAACCTCTGTGGAAAGCAATATGGAGATACCTCAAAGTGATACAAGTAGATCTACCCTTTGATTCAGCAATGTCACTACTGGGCATCTACCCAAAAGATCGAAAGTCACTTTATGAAAAAGATACCTGCACTCGAATGTTTATAGCAACACAATTCACAGTTGCAAAGCTGTGGAAACAACCCAAGTGACCATCAATTGATGAGTGGATTAATAAAATGTGGTGTATATATATACACCATGGAATACTATTCAGCTTTAAGAAACAACAGTGATATAGCACCCCTTATATATTCCTGGATATAGCTGGAACCCATTCTACTAAGTGAAGTATCTCAAGAATGGAAAAACCAGCAACACATGTACTCACCAACAAATTGGTATTAACGGATCAACACCTAAGTGGACACATAGGAGTAACATTTATTGGGTGATGGGAGGGTGGGAGGGGGGAGGAGGGGATGGGTATATACAACCACAATGAGTAAGATGTGCAACATTTGGGGGATGGACACGCTTGAAGCTCTTACTCAAGGGGGGAGGAGGGCTTGGGTAATATATGTAACCTTAACACTTGTACCCCCATAATATGCTAAAAATAAATAAATAATAAAAAAATAATAAAAAGAACTTGAGTTCTACCTAACTTTCCATTTTGTTATTCCCGTTATATTGGCTTGATCATGAGGCTTGACCCAACATGGTTGCAAGACAGCCTCCACGTGCAAGACATTGTGTTGTCTAGGATTAGGTTGTATACTGTGGGTGATTGATTGATTGTATAGTTCCCCAATTCTTCATTTCTCCAGGTACTCATGCCCTTTACCATGGGACTTTGTATTTTTCATCACCTAAGAGGCAGAGTCTATTTCCCCACCCCTTAAATCTAGACTGGACTTGAGACTTACTTTTGCCAGTTGAATGTAGATGAAATGGCGATGTGCTAGCTCTAAGGCTGAGCTTCAAGAGATCATGTGCATTTCTACTTATTAACCTCTGCAATTGTCATGAGAACCCATCTGGACTGCCCTGATGGAGGACAAGAGATACGTGGCTCAGTCACCCAATAGTCCCCGATGACAGCCAGCCAACCATCAGACATGTGTGCCCAGAAAAACCAAGCCAGAAGAACCACACAGCTGAGCTCTGGCTAAATCCCTGATCAGAGACTCATGAGCTAAATGGAGGCTTGCTGCATTAAGCTACTAAGTTTCGTTACACAGCATTATTATGGCATTAGGTGATTGACACACATGGCCATGCTGCAAGGAAGGCTGGGAAAACAATACCTGATATTTTCAGCCTCAATAATGAAAAAGAATAATAGCTACTGGGTAGGCAACCAACAAAGTCTACCTCAGCAGCCGAGAGGAATGACAAATATCCAGGAGGCCAGGAAAAGGCGAAGGCAATGCCAAATGCTCCGGTGTAATTCTTCAAAAGGGACAGGCCAGTGGGTGAAGGGTTAAGTAGAGAATGAGATGAAAGCAGCCAAGTCCTTATGCAGCCAAGATTTATCAGGTCTTTCTGCTTGAGCTGTGATGATAAATACATCAGGGACTGTATTATCAGCAAGACAATTGCAGAATCATGGGGTGACTTGCTGTAATGCAGAATTCATGAGCTTCTGGACAGAGCCTGTGTGAAGGCACTTCTCCCAGGTCACTTCAGCAGAGTTTGGATGTTCACATTTTTAATGCATGGTCCTTCTTTGAGCTGAGTCCCCATGCCTGACAAATCCCAACTCAGCCAGAGCATGGCCCAAACCCCACAACAAAAAGTAAAATTCACCCCACTTCTTGGCTGTGTCTTCCACAATCCCGTGCATTTGTGTTGCATTTTCTATTTCCAAATTACTTCCATGATCTCTTGCAATCTTTAGCTCCACTCCTAGAGGTGAATATTTCAATTCTAATATCAGATGAGGACACTGAGGGTTGAAAGGCTGTCACTTGCCTGAGCTCACAAACAAGGTAGGGGGAAAGCTCTTACTGTCTCTGCCCGGGATCTCCCCATGTCCCTCCCCATGGCTTAATTCAGGTCTTTGCTCAAACGCCACCTCCTCAAGGAGGACTCCTGAGCCACTTTTGCTAAATTACCATCCCTGTGTCTGTCCCTTACCCTGCTTAACTTTTACTAATAACGCTTATCACATTTTTCTATATTTATTTGTAGTGGATCTCCTCGATAAGAATGCAGGCTCTCTGAGGGGAAGAACTTTGTTTTCTTACAACTACATTCTCAGTGCCTATAACCATGACTGGCACATTGTAGGCAGTCTACAAACATGTGCTGAATGGATGAATGAATGAAGATGACAATCAGCTTGATCTTCCATTCCATGCCTGCGGAAGCACAGGGCCCTCCAGAGTCATCCTAACTCTGACCTTTCCTTCTGCAGAATTTTCTCCATTGATGGGTCATCTCCCTTCACCTCTTGTTCCACCTCTATCCCACACCACTTAGACCCAGTGAGCAATGCCAATCCTTCCACCATGGTCACCAGAAACAATTCATGCAAGCAAATCATTCTTATGCATGGTCAACGTTACTGATCATTTGGTGTAGGGTGGTAGAGAAGGAATTTACATCATATGAACAGAAACAGAAACAGTTTCATAGCAGACATCGCTGTTTTTGACATTTCCTCTGGTCCCGCCATCAAAGAATTTTCACCTGCCACCGTTCGCAATCTTCAGTCCCTCTCTCCACCTCAAGCCCTGTCCCTCTCTCCTCTCCTCCTGCCCCCTTCCCTCATCTCCACTCCCCTCTTCTCTCTTTTCCTCTCCTCTTCTCTCCCACCTCTCTTTCCTCAGAAAAACAGAGCACTCTGGGCATCTCTTTCCAATGCTTTACTGTCTATGGTCCTGATGCCCCCTGAAGGTATTTTTATAAAAAAGACAGCATGGTCCCCGAAAGAAATTCAGGTCCCAAATTTTAAGTATTGTATTTTGCTCTGCTACACTGGAAGGCCAGAGCTCATTGGTGTACAAACACAAAGAAAGGAGAATTATGCTTTGTGGTATACCTGCTACATTCATTACTTTGTTTAAGCCTCCCAGACACAATATAATTTAGAGTTTATTTTCTCCATCACGGAAATTAGGTAATTGGGGCTTAAGAAGGATGTAATTTGCCTGAAGTCACTTAACAAGTGAGTAATTGAACAGGATTCAAATTCAGGTCTAAGTCCTAACGATGGCAGGACTTACTCCATCCTTTACGTGGCTGGGACATTAAGCCCATGAATGGTTTCACAATGAGATCAGAAGAGAATAGAACAGTCTCCTGGTCTCTTTTCCAAACTTTAGATCCATTTCTAGATGTCCCAGTAGCATCTCAAACTCAGTCTGCACACAACTGTCTGTCTCCACCCCACCTGCTCCTCTCCTGGTTTCAGCAAATGGCTCCAAGCCAGGAAGCGAGGAGTCTTCCTGGAGTCTCCAACTCCCACTGTTCATGTCTAGTCTTTATTCAGTCTCCCCAAATTTCACTGAGCCCAGTGCCACCGTGCTGCCCCAGTCCCGGCCAGCGTGTCCTCTCTCTCCTGCGTAACAGCAGGCATTTTGTATGCATGTTCCCACCTCCCACTCCAGTCAGAGTGAGTGCCTGGCAGTTCTTCTTTTAGGCTCCTTCTCTCTCATTTTCACCCTTTGTACTGGCAGGTCTTTCTGCCTGGAGCTTCATCTCCCACATTTTCTCTGTCTACAACTCCTAACTCTTCCTGCATGGCTCAGGTCAGAAGCTACCACCCCGCCATTCCCACTGTCAGTACTGTTTCCACATATCCAAATCCACCTGTCTCTGGACTTCCATCAGTTCTATCTCCAGGGGCTCCCTTGCCATCCGAGTCCAGCTGCCAGACCTTCCCCCCACCCCGTGTCTCCCAGCAACCCGCTCACATCCAGGGGACACTGTGT